GTTACAAGGAACACTTTATAAAATTGTAACAGTAAACTTAAGGTTGCTCTGTTATTGTAAACTTAAGGTTGCTCTGTTATTGTTTATAAAGTGTTTCTTGTAACATAAACTTAAGGTTGCTCTGTTATTGTTTATAAAGTGTTCCTTGTAACATAAACTTAAGGTTGCTCTGTTATTGTTTATAAAGTGTTCCTTGTAAAGTTTCGCTCTGTTATTGTTTATAAAGTGATAAACTTAAGGTTTTTATAAAGTGTTCCTTGTAACTAACCTTATGTCAGCGGACTGAGAAAATGTGTCGTAGTTTCATTTACTGATATCTTACTAGTGTTTTCAGAAAGTGTCCCTTTTTCGTGAGTAATGTCCCTGTTTTACCGAGTTAGTTCTAAATAATAGTTTGAGTGTGTGTTCCTCTTTTACCGAGGTAACTTTAAGCATTTATTCCTGGTTATTCATATTTAGCGAGTTAATTTTACGTACTATTTTGAGTGAGCGTCCTTATTTTCACGAGTCAACTTGAATAGTGCTTTATTTCAGTGTCCCTATTTTCACGAGTCAACTTGAGTAATGCTTTAAGTCAGTGTCCCTGTTTTCACGAGTCAACTGGAGTAGTGTTTTAAGTCAGTGTCCCTGTTTTCACGAGTCAACTCGACTAATGCTTTAAGGTGTCCCTGTTTTCACGAGTCAACTTGAGTAATGCTTTAAGTCAGTGTCCCTGTTTTCACGAGTCAGCTTTAGTAATGCTTTAAGTCATGTCCCTGTTTTCACGAGTCAACTTGAGTAGTGCTTTAAGTCATGTCCCTGTTTTCACGAGTCAATTCGACTAATGCTTTAAGTCATGTCCCTGTTTTCACGAGTGAACTCGACTAATGCTTTAAGAGTTCCTGTTTTCACGAGTCAGCTTTAGTAATGCTTTAAGTCATGTCCCTGTTTTCACGAGTGAACTCGACTAATGCTTTAAGGTGTCCCCTTTTTTCACGAGTTATAATTAGTTTGCCAGTGGTTTTTGTTTCGTTCTAAAATTTCTTAATTTGAAAACTTTAATTTATAAAGTGTCCACTTTTAATATATAGATGCCGTTACCGTATTTTACCCTTGAAACGTTTCTTATCTCTTGCTCTACAAATAAATTTAAGGTTTATTAACAAGTAGAAAAAGCTGTGGAGAACCAGCCGTCACTCTATCAGAGTGTGATAGATTTGGTGTTACAACACCTGATAATTTCCATTCCACCAAGGGCAACAATATCCACCAACAATGAAGCCCGAAGCGAATAAACTGTCGTGACGTGATGCGTCTGACCCACCGTCAATTCTAACAACCGGAAACAGTACTCGGCTTGGATGGTTTCATGACGCATTCACTGTTTTCCAACAGGAAATTCGTTTTTACAGGATCCCTCGTTGATTTAGGGATCAACACCCCCACAACATACCTCCTACCTTTGACATACGATACTTCTATAGTAACGGAAGTGCGACGTAGTCGCCTCTTTGTTGTCAACACGTTAAATTTGAAAGCGCAAGTTCCGTTTCGCAGCTTTCACGACCATGTACCACAACACTCTGGTTCTGGCCTCTTTCTTCAGCATCATAGCTGGTGTACCGCAACCTCCCGGGCCAAACTTTGATACTGTGTCTGGATTTGGAGACCCTAGAATTTACAACCTGGTGGTTTGTGGTGCGTATTGTATGCGTTTAGTTTAAGAGCACTTACAAGAGGCTAAAACTAAACATTAACTTAAATCTTTCGAAAAATGAATAGAACGTTCTAGAAAATGAAGTAGAAAGTTGTATTGATTTTAAACAGTTTGTTTCTTTGAAGTTAAGCACAAAGCTACACAATGGGCTATCTGTGCTCTGCCCACCACGGGTATCGAAACCCGGATTCTAGCGTCGTAAGTCCGCTGACATACCGCTGTGCCACTGGGGGGCGATTTTAAACAGAACGGTAAAGAATGGAATGGAATGTTATTTTAACGGGAATCTACTATTAACTTTAACCGTCCCTAATTTCCAAGTGATAGTCTAGAGCAGTGGTTCTTAACTTGTTATATAAAAACAAATTTGGTGTTGAAAAGGTGTAATAATATAATGTAAAATTTAGAAATTTACCAAAATTTCACACCCAAATGAAAATTTTTTCTTATTTTATCATTTTCAAATTACACCCCCAATATATTCAAATTGCCCTCCTGTGTGGCATGCGCCCCACGTTCAGAATCACTGGTCTAGAGTAACGTTTCTCATATTGGGGTCCGCGAGTCGTGCCCAAAATTTCATGAAAATACTTTAAAAATATGATTTATAGAATGAAAATAATTTATCGTAAAATTAAATTTATGTGAATTAAAACCTATTTTTCGAATACAACTTTTCATAAACACATCTTTTTTCTTTCTTTTTTTTTTTCAAAAGAAAAACCGGTAGGCTTGGGATTCGCAAAAGAATTGTAAATTAAAAGGGGTCCTCGTGTTATTCAAGTTTCAAAACCGCTCGTCTACAGGGAAGGTCAACACTCCCACCGTCAACGAGTAATAGCATTAACTGTCACGTTATAATTTTCCAACGACTAAAAGGGCGAGCATATTTGGTCACAGGCTCCGATCCCGCACACAAGTTACAAGTCGAGCGTCTTAACCACTGGGCGTATTGCATAAAAATCTATAAAAGTTTGCCTTACTTCGCATGTCATGGCTTCACTTAACAGTAACATTTTCCAAACGTCTGTTTACGAAGAAGGACATTTGATTTGTATATAGATAAGAGATAATTTAGAAAGACTGCATGAAAAAGTAAAGGAGGTCAGTTTCGTATTTTATTGTATGTAGTCAAATTCTTGTTCCATGACAAGATGTCCATTTTTGGTGTGTGGCCCGGCATGGCCAGGTGGTTAGGGCCCCGGCATGGCCAGGTGGTTAGGACGCTCGACTCGCAATCTGCGGGCGGCGAATTCGCATCCCGTCCCACCAAACGTGCTCGCCCTTTCAGCCGTGGGGGCGTTATAATGTTACGGTCAATC